ACCTGAAGAAGGAGCGAGTCTCTGAAAGTTGTGTTTTCAAATAAACCTGTTAGACTATAACCTGGTGTTGTGTGATTTCTGACCTTGTCCACCCCAGCCCAACACCGGCACCTCCACATCATGTCTTTAGTCATTCAGCTATGTGTATAATGTACAGTGACATCATTTAGCACAGGACCCAAACTACAAATCTAAGTCTGTGATATTGTAGCTGTGTAAACAGTTAATGTTGTAAATAAACTTCAAAAACTGGAACCAAACGCTCTGGTATATGTTACATAGGTTAACATATAAAAAAAACTGCAAGACACACATACTGACACACTAGTTTTTTTTCTTAGAGACACAGGTTAGCATAATTTCAGCGGGACCTCACTCAATATTGTTGTAACTTTGCTTACAACCTTAGATCCAGAAAGTCCTGGACTGTTTTTTAGATTTGTGAGAGTTCCTTTATTCATTAATGAGATGAGGGCATCACTGGCTAGGCAGCATTTATTGCCCATCCCTAATTGCCCAGAGCAAACCACATTGCTGTCAGTCTGGAGTAACATGTAGGCCAAATCAGGTAAGGATGACAGTTTCCTTCCCTAAAGGACATTAGTGAATGAGATGGGTTTTTCCTGACAATTGACATCATTAAATTCTTAATTCCAGATATTTTATTGAATTCAAATTTCACCATCTGCCTCGGCAGGATTCGAACACAGATCCCCAGAACATTATCTGGTTCGCTAGATTAACAGTCCAGTGATAATACCACTAGGCCATTGCCTACCCATTTGTATGGTTGACAGCTTTCATGGAGCATGGGTGAAATTTCGGTGAGTAAACATCACAGAGAATAATTTTGTTTTCGGGTTCAAATTAATTCTAAATGATTAAAAATGTATGAAAATCCTATTTGAAATATTGTTATTAGCTCTCAATTGCTAGTATAGGCTGTTCTCCTTTATTATTCATAGTAACAAGTACAATAAAGTGGATTTAGGAAGGACACATTGAATGAATTTATATGGACATGAAATTTAAATAGTTGTGTGCAATTAAAGGGGTCTGTCATATAGGGAGGCAAAAGCACAGGAAGTCTTTGGAATGTCTTAAATGGCATTTCAACCTATTATCTACTTTTACTGAGGCTTAAGGGGCAGGAATTCTGTAGTGGCATTAGAAGGGAGGTGAAAGGAGTCATTTGTAGACAAGTGACAAAACATACATTACCATCTGTTTTGCTTTTAAAGGCAAAGCAATGCTGTTCTATTGCAAAATGACTCTTCGTGTTTTCCGTACTACAATCTCAAAGATCAGCAACTAGGTACAGCCAAGTTGCAGGCCATAGCCAATGATTAAAGTCTCTGCCCATATGCTAGGTCACAAGTATGTTTGAAGCAGTTGCCACAGTTTTGTATCAGTTGCTCTGCTGACCTAGAACTTGATATGATGGATAGATTATGTTTGGCAAGAACTCAAGAGTAAATGGGCCCAATAGAAATGGCTGGTGGCATTTTGGGAGGTGTTGTCAATTACTCTTGATCACCCCGTCAAGCCATTTTCATACAGTACCACATAAAACTTGGCAAATTCTAATTGGGTGCTTTTGAAGAATCATTCATCATAGTGGTTGGTCAGACAATCACAAATGGCAAAGATGCCATGAGGAGTTGGTTAGCACAGGTTCCTTTGGGAGCAGGAACAATTATGAACACTGCTAAATGATATCTCATTTCTCTTTGATTGTGTGGATACTGACATGAAGATACAGATATTGGGCCTGACCTGCCTTGCATTGCTTCATAAGACTTCTTCTTTTGAATATGAGCTTGAAGTATTCCCAATGAGTATAGGCTTTACCATTATGAAAGAAGCTTGTGCTAAAAATTAAGCACAACTGGCACAAAGGTTCCTGAAAGGGAATGTGTCAGCAGAAACACTATGAATAGCAGAAAAAGCTCAGGATTAAAAATACTGTGAAATTCAGTATTCCTAAATGACTTGCAGACTATGCACTTCTAAGTAACTGTGGACACCAGTTTTCTTGAGTGCATTTTGGACTTGATTGAGAGCTTGCTGTGCACAAATTGGGTACTGCATTTCAAACATCACCAATCACACCTCAAAAGTACTTAATTGAAAGTAAAGCACTTTGGATTGTGAAATCACTAAAGAAACACAAGTTTTTCTTTTGTATTCTAGGTTTGAATCCCTTCAATCAATTTTTACCTGCCACAGTACCAAACAGTTCTTATCAAAATCACAAATTACATCCTATGTGACCGTGACCATAGTAAACTTTCTCTTCACATTCTTCTTAATCCATCTGCAGAGTTTGACATGGTTGACCATAGCAACAACCTCTTACACCTCTCAACTGTCATTCAGATTGATGTACCTGCTGTCAGCTGTTTCTATTCTTGTTTATTCAATTGTAGCCAGAGAATCACTGTCATGATTCCTTTTCCTGTTATTGTGTTGATATCTCTGGTGTCAAGGATATATCCTTGGCTCCTTCCTATTTCCCATTTACATGCTACCAAACGAGAACCCCATCCAAAAGCACAGCATTAGTTTACACATGTACACTATAACAACACACAAATCTACCTTCACCAGCACGTAGCTTGACTTCTCCATTGTTGATAAATGAGCAGACTGTTTATCCAATATCCAGTACTGGTTGAGTAGAAATTTCCTCCAATTAAATATTGTGAAGACTGAAGTCATAGCCTTTAACCCAAATCCATACCCTATTCCCAAGTTACGAACTCCATTCCTTTCCCTGATAACAGTCTAATATTAAGTCAGACTGGCATTGGTCCTGAACTGAACCTCTGATTTCCTATTCATGCTATCACTAAGAATGTCTACTTCCACCATTTTAACATCATCTGAAGTCATCTCTGTCTCAGCTAAGATAACAAGATGTAGAGCTGGATGAACACAGCAGGCCAAGCAGCATCACAGGAGCAGGAAGGCTGACGTTTCGGGCCTAGACCCTTCTTCAGAAATGGGTGTTGGGGACCGGGGAATTGGAAGTTCTGGAGGAGGTGGAGGGCGTGGGTGGTGTCACAGACGTAGGTAGGAAGTTCCTGGACCAAGGGGGAGAAAATGGAGTCCAGATAGTTGGAGATAAGTTCGGTGGGGCAGGAGCAGGCGGAGACAATGGGTCGACCAAGGCAGTCAGGTTTGTGGATTTTGGGAAGGAGATAGAAGTGGGCGGTGCGGGGTTGGGGAACGATGAGGTTGGAGGCCGTGGGTGGGGGGGTCACCTGAGGTGATGAGGTTGTGGATGGTTTGGGAGATGATGGTTTGGTGCTCGGGGGTCATGATCAAGGGGGCAGTAGGAGGAGGTGTCGGAGAGTTGGCGTCTGGCCTCGGCGATGTAGAGGTCAGTGCGCCATACTACAACTGCGCCTCCCTTGTCCGCGGGATTTATGGTGAGGTTGGGATTGGAGCGGAGGGAGCGGAGGGCTGCACGTTCTGCGGGGGAGAGGTTGGAGTGGGTGAGAGGGGTGGAAAGGTTGAGGCGATTGATGTCTTGACGGCAGTTGGAGATGAAGAGGTCGAGGGAGGGGAGGAGGCCTTGGGGTGGTGTCCAAGAGGAGAGGGTGTGTTGGAGGCGGGAGAAGGGGTCAGTAGAGGGAGGTTAGGTTCACGGTTGAAGAAGTAAGCGTGGAGGCGGAGGCAACGGAAAAACTGCTCAATGTCCAAACGTGACTGGTATTCGTTGATGTGTGGGTGGAGAGGGGACAAAAGTGAGCCCTTTACTGAGGACTGACCGTTCGTCCTCAGTAAGGGGGAGGTCTGGGGGGATGGTGAAGACTTGGCAGGGCTGAGTGTTGCTGTCTCCTCTGGAGCTGCTGGCTGTGGAGGCGGTGGGCGGAGCGACGTCGGCGTCAGCTCGTCTGTCTTCTCTGTCTCTAGATTTGACTATTCCAATGCACCTTTGGCTGGTCTCCCATAACCTATCCTCTATTTAGATCATTCAAAATATTGTTGCCTGCGTGTTAACACACAAGTACCATTGCCCTATCATCCTTGTGCTCACTGACCTACAAACATCCAAACAAGCAATGTCATCCTTTTGAAATTCTCATTTTTCAAATCCCTCTATTGTCTGAAACTTCCCCCATCCCAAGCCCCACAATCCCCTAGGATATCTGCAATCCACTAACTCTGGCCTCTTGTGCATTACCCCGAATTTTAACTACTGCACCACTGGTCGCTGTATCTGGGCCGCAAGCTTTGGAATTCCCTCCTGACACCTCTCCCCACTTTCCATTTTTACGATACTCCTCAATGGGTTTGTTGTCACACAATCGTTTTATAATGTTCCTCTGCCTAGTAAGGTTTTGCAAGATTCCATAAAAAATATTGCTGTGCCCGACAGCTGTGAAACGGAGCAATGGAATATCATAACCCCTCCCCAACTTACAACCGAAATGAAGATTTCCTCGAGATACTAGGAACTGCAGATGCTGCAGAATCTGAGATAACAAGGTGTAGAGCTGGATGAACACAGCAGGCCAAGCAGCATCAGAGGAGTCTAGGCCCGAAACGTCAGCCTTCCTGCTCTTCTGATGCTGCTTGGCCTGCTGTGTTCATCCAGCTTTACACCTTGTTATCTATTGAAGATCTCCCCGGTTGCTTTGACCATGCAGGAGCTTTTACCTCCTGACCCAGACGTAACCACAGCTTTAAGAGGGGGCCAGGGCACAACGGGGGTGGAACGCAATCTTGTAGTTCATTAATACTCTTGTGAGCCAGACTCTTAGATAGAGGGATAGACTATGGCACATGCTTTGCTTTTGAAGTCTATTGCAAACCTGCTGAACTTGAAGGGACAGAAACTCTGAGCAGTTGAGCCTGCAGAGGGCAGCGGCTGTAGCTGACTAAGCTGAGTTGTTGGGTTTTTTCTTTCTTCCTCTTGTTCGTTTTGCCTTTCATTCTCATGGTGCAGGAAATGACGGGACCGTTTTCTGGCTGATATAAAAAGCCTCCTCCTCCATTACTCTCTCTCCGTCTCCTAGCCACATGTGTGAGTGTGGAAAAGCTCCTGCAGTAGCACACACTCATACGTGAAAAAAAAATCTAAAAAAATAAAAAAAATCTTATAAACAGAAAAAAAACAAAAATAAAAATCGGTGGAACTAAGTTTTGAAGTGGGCGAAAATCCAGTTATCTTTTATAATTTAAAAAAAAGGAAAAATAAAGCCAACCAGGTCTCAGCCACGCTCTGGGATTTATCGCCTGGAATCGGGTGCGGACAAACCTTGCGAAGTTTCTGGAAGCTGAAGTATTTGAAGCGGTTTTTTAAAACAAAAGAAAAGAATTATAAGAGCCGGGAATCTGTTAACTCAATAGGCCACAGGCTTCAGGAGAGAAGGAAGAGAATCAGATTTAACCGGTTCGAGCATTTCTGGAAAGTTCTTTGCCCGACGGTTTCTCGCCCACTCCCCTTTTTTTAAAAAATCCTCGCGCTCGCTGTCTCCCGTTTCGTTAAGTTGGGGGGGGAAAGTTGATCGTTTGATTTGTGTCGGACTGTCTGAGGATGAATCAGACCGGTGCCAGCTACCCGATGGCCTCGCTTTATGTCGGCGACCTGCACCCAGATGTGACCGAGGCGATGCTGTATGAGAAATTTAGTCCGGCCGGGCCTGTGCTCTCCATCAGGGTTTGTAGGGACATGATCACCAGGAGGTCACTCGGATACGCCTATGTCAACTTCCAGCAGCCCGCAGACGGTGAGCCAGACGCTTTATGTTTTTTTTTGAAAAAAAAATCTTCGATCAAACTACATCCGCCCTCCTCCCCAGGCTTCTCCATCCAGCCCCTGTTCACCCAGGGCTGTGTGGCTGCTGGAGGCCAACGTCCAAACTGATCACTGCCCAGAGATATCAATAACCACTGGCTGCTGGCAAGCGAAGGGAAATGTTTCTCATCTGTCCGTTGGTTTGATTAGCGCCAAACTTTTATCATCTGGGAGATCTCCCTGCCCCGATTTTTAAAGTACACCACCAGTTAGTTTAAAACCCGTCGATTTCATTGCAGGTAGCTGAAATGATGGGCTAGTAAAATTAAGAAAGGTTACGAATTCTGAAGGGATTGAAATCTCATGACCTTGGGGATCTCCGTTTGTAAACACAATGTCACAGGTATGAAAATCGATAATGACTTTTAACATTTGTCAATGTCACGGTTGGCAATGAATTGGCAGCTGGCACAGTTCTTTTTAAGATGTTCTAAAGAACTTACAGGCAGGGGCATGGTAAGGTAAATATCCAGGAGGTGAAAAGCATTTCAGGCACAAAAAAACACTTATGGGCCTTATGTCCTTGAGGAAGAAAAGTTGCAGAGCACCTATCATGGCTCACTGAGCTGATGAAGGACTTGATTTATTACTAGGCCAAACAACCTACAAAAACTGTTCATTAGCTATTTTTAGCAGAGATTTTGGAAAATGCACCTATAATTAGCTTCAGTGTTTCTGGGTTGGGGGAAAAAAGAAAAAGCAATTAGTGTCCAATACCAGATTTCTTCAGATGAACCCCTTCTGGAGAGTTTATGTCTGTGATCCAGAGTTAGCGAGCAAGTGCAATCTAAACTTTGCATTTATATAATGTCCTTTTGGTTAAGACCTCTGAAGGAACCATTATATTGTAGTGGGTGGAAGGAGGAACTGGCAGTTTTGTACTGTTACTAGTATAGTACTCTAAAATTGGATTAGAGTTTTGTACGTATTAAAATTCAAGATTGAAGTGAAAGTCACCCATAGTCCCAGAGGACTATGGGTTGCTTTTTTCTTAGAATATAAAAATAACTGCTGGTGAGTTTAACGTAAGGGTCACCATGTGTTGGGTGAGGGGCAAGGTTGAGAAGGCAGTTCCTTCATAACCTCAGTTGGTACAGGAATTGAACCCATGCTTTTGGTGTCACTGGGTGTTGCAAACTAGCAGTTCAGCCAAAGGACTTAACTGGTAGTCAGTTTGAAGGATGCCTTCAGTATTAAAATGTCATTGAAGTATAGTGAAGATGTGTCTGAAGTGCTAATATGCAATATGATGTTTGTCAGTGACTGAATGCTTTGCAATGTTGTTGAGCGGTTCTCCTTTATCTTCAAGCATAATGAGCTGAAGTAGATTGTAACTTGGGTTTGAGATCAGAAAACTTAGCAAATTACAGCCTTTGAACCCTGGATTTTCTCGAATGTCTGGTTCACCACTACATCAGGTTATCCATTTACCCACTAAGTGATGAGAGAGTGTTTGATTGTGTGCACTTTAATTGTAATAAGATAGTTTTCTAGCATTTTACTCACTTTTGTACTTAAAATTGTTTTTTGACTGCTGTATTGGACTAGTTCATTCAATCTCATCTGGCATTACATAGTTTCTGCACAGAGAACATCTACCCTTTCCCTTCCTCTGATTGTTGGGTCAAGTTTTGTGTATTTGCAACAATGCTGGGGATTATCAGCAGATGGTATTCATCTTGGCTTTAGAAAGTGCAGTGTTAGCCATTTCATATGTTACTTTGTCCCTGTTGTGATTGAATTTTGGAAAAAATTGGCATCTATCACCTTGGAAATTTTACGATGAGGAAAAGCTATTTGAAGCCTTCTAGTAACTTAAATCCATTTAACAATAGGGTAGTAGCAGACATTGTATAATTTCTTGTTCAGCCGAATAAGTTTCAGCACACAAGTAATATATCTTGGCACAAGTTATAGTGCTTAAAACAATAACTAGTGTGCTGAAATATGGATAATTATACCTTTTGATTTAATTGTTGCACTTAGATTATTAGTTTCACTTTGTTTTAATGTCTGTTAAAATTTTTAAAAAATCTTTTTCAGTTGTTGTTCTGTGATCCTCCTGACATCACAGCACCAGCTCTAACACAAAACAATGAAAGGTTCTGATGCTGAGCGAAACTGTGCAACTATCGTGGGCATAACCACAGTTCTCAGCCAATCGGAATCCTCCTTAATCTAAATCAGAAATAAATGTTCAACTATCAGCAACCTACACACATGGTAAGGAGCAACTTGAGCATTTACACGTTATCCATAATGAAATATGAAGCAGTATTCTAATGTGCTCAGAATACAACTTTCTAGTGTCACTATTTCTTTTCTGCCCTATGCTAGTGACTTTTCTTGTCACTTGACTTCGGAAAAGTTTTCCATTATGAAGTCTGTTTTCACCCCCTTTCTGTCAAATAATGTTAAGCAATGTTTTGAAAATGCTGCTTCCTTCATAAGATAATCATAGCAGAGTTGAGTACATCCTGGAAGCCACTTATTAGAAATTAGTTGTCTCTAGGCTTGTTAGCATATTATGCTAATATGCTCTATGGGGAAAAAAGTCATTTTAATGCCTTGATATGCTTCTTAAAAGATGCTCTGATTCAGACTCTTCAAATTAATCTATTATAGCTTCCATCTGTAAGAAACCTTACAGTAGAGTCATAATACTTTTTTCCAGTCCAGTCAAATTTGTACGACAGAAGTAGTACTTCGTGTTATTCTAAATCAGCATGTCTGAAGTTTAAAAGTCAGATGGAATGCCTGTGGTATGGAAAAAAAATCAGAATTTACAGATTACACTATAAAATTCTAGTGACACCGAATCTTTTGGGTATCATCATATGAAGCAGCCATTGGGTGGTTGAGAGTTACAAAGGGTTAAGATGTGGTCTGATAGATATATAAGCTATTTCCAGCTTCAGATTCTTTTCATACTAGATTGGGTTTTCTGCCCCCTTGGAACTTAAGTGTATTCACTCAACAGCTTTTCTATATGTAGCCATTAAAGAGACAAAACAGCAAATCTAAATTCCTTCAGCACTGTGGAGGACATTAATTTAACCAAAGTTTTGTCAAATCACCTTTTAAACCGGTTATAATTATTGCCAGAAACACTACTTTCTACAGATCGCCATAGTTACTGACTGGGTATCTGAGTACTAAATATCATTAATAGGTGAAAAACAATCTTTCTCTGTTGCTTATCAATTTGTATCATAAATCAAAGTTAAGATTTGTTGGTTTGCTTTATACTAATTGATCTCATTCCATCACTGGCAAGATGATATATTCTTTGTAAAATGAAGATAGCCGACCAGCTATGATGTAGATTTACATTAAGATGCTTGAGAGTGTAGTTGAATCCTACTCAGTGTTCACAGGCGTGTGTACACAAAACTAGCAAAAACAATCAGGGAGAGGAAAGATATGGTGCTGGAAGTGCAGAATGTTACAAGAAACAATAGAATGTCAGACAGATGAAGTAACTTTTCCAGATTTGAATGTGAGAAAATGAATCTTTTAAAGAAGGTAACAACTTAGCCTGACACTTTCACTAAACTCGCAACAGTTTGTTTGGCAGTTTGGAAGATTGGTACTGTATTCCAAATTTTGAATGCAGTTTTAAACAGCACATTGCAATTACCACCAAAAACGTCCAATTTCTGTGTGTTGTCATTGTAACTCACTAAGTATGAGTACAATGTTTAAAAATTTCATTAATAATTGGAAGAAAAATTTGCCAGTTTTTCAACCGATTATGTGTAATTTCTGCTGGTCTGCTTTTCAAACAAAAGTTTTGAATATTTAGAGTAGAGTATTAAAATGTTTCTTTTTAATGTTACTTTAATTTTAAATGACAGACATACAGTTTTTTTTGAGAGTAGCGTGATGAACTTTGAAAGTGCCTGAATTCTTTCAGCTAATTTATTCTTTGCATTAATTTCAGTTATATGCTCCTGAGTCAAATAAATTCTTTAAAGGCCATAAATATTCTAGTATCCCTGGTAATCAGTAACTTAAATAGTGTCTGTCTATTCAGATTTTATTTTAGCTAAACCCAGAAAAGGAGATTGGCTCAGACCATGCGGTAAGTGTAATGTTGATTCAGCTCTTCTGCCTGCACATGCCTTTAAAGGACCACTTGCTAAAAATAGCAAGCAACGAAGTACAAAAGAGGTTGCATCGTCTATTGATGGCATTTTTATGAAATGGCTGTGTATTATCATTTAACATGGCAATGTAGCTTTCATTGGTTTTGAGAGTTCATGCAAAATAAAATACTTAGTAAATATTACACATCTCTTTAGAATTTATGTAAGTGTGGAAAGTTACAGTGCAGTAGTTTTATTTAAGTACTGGAAAGCACAGGACTGCTAGTTCTTGCAGACATGAAGATTTCACCCCGAGAGAAATTTGGAAGCTGAAACCAGAACTAAAGGGGAAAATGCACATTCTTAGGTGTGCTCATTTAACTTGGGTATTAGTTTCCATACTGATACAGCATATATAGCATTAAATGTCATGACCTCTTACACAAGGGAATAAATATATTTAGCATCTGTTTACCTGCCAATATTTATTTGATTTTTTTTAAGCAGGTGAGATTGCTATCAAAGCTGAGATTTAAAAAGATCACTTGATAATGTCCAGGTCAAAAATGCCATTCAGTTTTTAACTTAAGTTTTTTTTTGTTAACTTGTATGAAAGTTAGGTTTTGTACTGCTAGAGTATTTAAAGGGCAGAATTAAGGGCTAATTAATCTAGTCAGATGGCTGTTTAATCCTGATACAAGTCTAGTTCATTCAGAAACTCATTAGAAGACAACAGTTTAAGGTCATTTAATCAAGGACACAATGTGATCTATCCCCTTGGAAATGATGAAATTGCAGTATATTTGCTGTTGGCACATGCAGCTTCCAGATATTACTCTATTATTTGCTTAATAAATATGCACCAAACAAATGTTACTGGAAAAGTTTCTGAAGTTCAGTGAGAATAATTTTTGCTGGTAAAGACTACAGGCAAATCTCTGCAAACCATGGTAATCAAAATGCTCAAACACTAATAGAATCCAATTATAACTGATGATATATAAATTATGGTGAATTAGTCTGGCCTGTGTGTGACTACATGAGAGCCACCATTTCTGATTATTTAAACTTCCTGATGCCATTTTATTAATCTTGTTTTCCACCGAGCATGAAAATGTTTATAAAGTGGGGGAAGAATGTATTAGATAAATAATTTTCTGTCCTCAGTGAAGCTTATGTATTGTTCTTTCATTAAATGTTTTGGGGAAGAAAACAATGCTTAACAAATTTGGGATGAGGAAAATAAATTCTCTAAAGGCCATAAATATTCCAGCATCCCTGGTAATCGGTAACTTAAATAGTGTCTGTCTATTCAGATTTGATTTTAGCTTAACCCAGTCAGTGAAGTTTTTCACCAGCTAACAGAATATTTACTAACAAAAGGCTCTGCAAAATGTGAGCTGGTTCCCTTTGCTGACTTTCAGGGACTCGAGGGAATAGTGTACCAGGGGACTGGACGGGTCTGTTGCAAATAGCTCTTGCAATCAAAATGTATATAATATTAACATCAAGGTAATTGATTTTAAGAATTTTTGAGAAAACAAATTCTGCTGACTGTGCAATAGAACTCTGTTTGCATGGCAATTAAATAGAAGAACTGCAAAGAAGCAGGGGCGCTATGTGTTTATTTTCGAATTTGCTCTTGTAAAATTTAACTTTTTTAATGAAGCAGTAGAATAGTGTAAAATGTTATCTTAAGAGTTTGTAGAACTTTTTTAACACACTTTATTGACTAAAATGCAATGTATTAAAATGCAAAGTTACAAAAGTGATAAAATATGGGTTCATGTTTATGTCCTTCACCGTAATTCTAGGCACGCTTACAAGAGTAGGTGCTGTGATTTTTGAATGTTTCTTCAGCAATAGATATTTTAAAAGGTGAGGGAAGGGAAAGTCATGCATGTGTATTTCTCAACATTAATTTTCTGACTGTTACTGGTAAAAGTTGAGACATGACTTGAGCAGAGAAATGGAAAGGAGAAGATGTAAATAACTTTGAAATGTTTCACTTTTATATGTAAAATACCTATAACCTTATTAATAATTCAAGTAAAAACTACAGTACTTTCATGTAATTATATAACGCTGACTAACTCAGCATTTTGTGATTTAATCTCTTTTTTTTAAAGACCTAATGTAGAGCTTCAAAAGATCAATTATACATAAATCCTCTTAACTTTTCTTTCTGGCACATGAACATTTTATGTAATGATCCAATGAAAACAGATAAATACAACTTGACATGGTTAATAAGATGTATGTTACTTTAATTGGTGTGAATGCTTGCCTTGATACAATAATATGCTTCAAAACATTATACTTTGTTGTAGTTGTTAAAAACCTGTAAAACTTTACTGCATTAGTACTTGTATTTCTGCTTAGAGCAGAGAGAATCCAAAATGTACATACTGCATTTCAACAACTTTCTGTATCCATCTTAGTATTTTTATTCCACATGATTACCTTATCTGAAAAGGCATAAGACACGTCAGTTCTAGATGATATGGACCCTTTCTGAATTGGACTTAAGTAGCTCTCATCATAATTACCCATTGTTCCCTATACAGGGATGAAATATCTGCTCAAGGTACTAAGATTAGGAAATAAGAACTGAAAGACTGCAGATTCTCTAAATCAGGAACAAAAACAGAAGTTGCTGGAAAAGGTCAGCAGGTCTGGCAGCATCTGTGACGAAAAAAATCAGAGTTAACGTTTCAGGTCCAGTTCTGGACCTGAAACGTTAACACTGATTTTTTTCTTCACAGATGCTGCCAGACCTACTGACCTTTTCCAGCAACTTCTGTTTTTTTTGTGACTGAGACTAGGAACTCAGTTTTGGAAACTCACAGTTGAAATCTTGCATTACAATGTTTTTTAGTGCATCGATAAATCTGCCCATTGACTACAAGAGACTTCAGAATTGAAGCAAAATACTAACCATCATAATAATCGTGACATCTATTGTGTCAGATCTATGTAATTTCTCTTAAACGTAGGCACTAAACAAGAGTAGAATTTACTATGTTTGATCTTTGAGGAGTGGTTTTCCTTGTCTTGTTCAAGATTTCTGCAAAGGAGTGATTATTTGTCTTTTCGCAGTTAAAGCAGATTTTGTAGGTATTCAACCCTGATCAATTTGCACATGTTTAATTGTGTTGGGTTATCCAGCCATCTAGACAGAGACGTTTGGTGTAGAGTAGCAAGACAGCATTTATTATGCTGTTCAACTGATTTCCACACCTTGATTACAGACCCTATTAACTTCAAATTTATTTGGACAGCTTTTAAAGTTTTCTTAATATTGTAGCTGAACGTGCCTTGGACACCATGAACTTTGATGTCATCAAGGGGAAACCAATTCGAATCATGTGGTCTCAGCGCGACCCATCACTGAGGAAATCGGGTGTAGGTAATGTGTTCATCAAGAATCTAGACAAATCCATTGACAACAAGGCTTTGTACGACACCTTCTCTGCATTTGGGAACATCTTGTCTTGTAAGGTGAGTTTTCAGTCGTGATGTAGTAAAATCCAATTTCAAAGTTCTCACTATTATTTTGCTCCACCCATGCATGAGATCAAATATTATCAGAAAGTCTATGGCAGTCTTTTTGGAGAATTCTACTCAGGGTACATGACCTGTAGGAACATTTGGGAGGTAGTTTGCTGTAGTAACTTAGTGAAGTGAACAGTTCAATTGAAAACCAAAGAAAAGTTAATTATTTCCATCAGCCAGATTTTGTTGCCGATTTTATTGTGTTTGAACAATACATGTGATTCTTAATGTGCAAATTGACTAGCAACGTGTAGTGAGGGGAATTGCCAAAATGTGAATTATGAAAAGTGTGAATTGCCAAAAATTGAGTGCCGTTTTGTGCCATTCCATTGAAAACATTATCTCATCCATAACCTGGTAATTTTCATGAAGTTGCTGCATTTGTATACAATTTACAATGCTGATTAAACTGGCCACAAAACGTTAAGTCTAATCATTTATCAACATTAAGTATTCTTTTAATGGTGTGATGATTGCTAATCAACCTTTTGCTTCGACAAAGAACTTTTATTTCTATAATATAGACCTCCTGTGAGTCAATAATTATATGTGTAATCTCATTCTTCGTGAATTGTTTAATTTAAAATGCCAAATTTTTTTATTGCTGTTTCTTTCTTGTCTTTTTTTTCACTACTTATTTTTCTGTAGTTGATTTGATATTGTATTGATTCACTCCAGTAACCCCTCCTTCCTATATTTATTTCTCAATCGTTCAATTTATTTGCCCCAGCGTTCACCAAGCTTGACTTCAGAATATTATCAGCTTACCCCTTCTAGTTTTCTGAGCATTTGTACAGGTTTGTTTTAAAAGTGCTATTTCTTGCTTTTACTTATCAAATGCATGGTACAGGAAGTGACCTATCAAATGTCTGGCTTTCGGCCAGGTCCTAATGTGTTTTGTACTTGATTTTTTTTAACTCTTTCTTCTGTGGAACCATTTAGTTCTCATGAAAAGCACATGAAACTAAAGCATAAGTTTAGGCTGCCCAGAAACACAAGCATTTCTCTTCTTCAGGTGGTATGTGACGAGAATGGCTCCAAAGGGTATGCATTTGTTCACTTTGAGACTCAGGATGCTGCAGATAGAGCTATTGAAAAAATGAATGGCATGTTGCTGAATGACCGAAAAGTGTGAGTACCTCAAAGCTGTTCAAATCGTGGTTTCAATACGTGTGCTGCCAGACCTTGAACAGTGTTGCTGATACCTTGTATTAAGTAATTAATTGGTTATTCTGAGAGATGGTAAATTTGGAAAAAAAGTGCTATGTATTTATTTGATATTTGCATACAGTAAGATTTGTTTTAATAGATCTTTACCAATGGGAATTTTCTAAAAACTGAATTTTTTTTACTGCACAATTTGTTTTAAAAGCCAATCCCTTTCAAGCAGCTATTAGTGGACTGATTGGTGAAACTGACAGCTACTTTTTTAAAGTCAGTAGCTCGATTTTGAGTCTTCAAATTACTTCACACATCAATAGTAACCTTGATCAGAAATAACCAGACAGTAACATTGATCCTGCTCACACACAATTCTTATTTATTCGCTTTCCACAGGGAATTCATTAACCTCAGTGTTTTAGCAGCCCCGCCCATTCTTGGGACGTACCAGATTACACATTTAACCGTGTAGCTAAATTTATAGGATATAGTTGTTGACATTTCCATCTGATTTAATGGCTCCATTTTAATAAAATTTGAACCAATTCAATTAAAGTTAACCTGAAATTATAAGTAAAAGTCTTTTTGTGCTTGTCTTCCCTTTTCTGCCTAATCGTTTTTCTTCCCAACCACTTTTCTCTGCTTTTAACATTACTTTTTTTCTTTATATGCATTTGTTCCTTTTTTTTGAAACAGTTTAACATACAGTTCTTTTGTTGGATTTCTCATCAATCTTTCTGCCCATTTTTCGGTTATTCAAAGTCTAGAAGTAGATGTAAATGGTTCTTCGTGAGTTTTTATTTAGCATCATAGAGAAATGGAACTGTTGACAAGTTAGCTGTTGGTTCCTTGTTGCATGAACAAGGTAATTGGTCCATGGAATACAAAGCATTAAAGATGTTATGGTAAAACATCACTGTGGACTAACTAAACACAAATTAATCTTTTGCTTCCAAGTACTTGTACATACAATAAGGAATTCATTCTAATGCTGGCTCAGATCAGACTATTTTATAAAGTATCTTTTATTTTTCCCGAGTGTCCTAGAATTTTCGAACTAAGTAAATGTTTCCTTAAAGTAGTAAAAACCTGTAAACTGTGAATTTGAGTTTCCTCGATGATGGTATTTTTCAGTTTGCCATCAAAAATCTGTTATTCTAAAACTGGAAGTCCAAGTTATAATGAAATAAGTCCAACAAAGCTGAAACGTTCAATAAAATTGGAAGGATTTAGTGTTATAGTAAATGCTGTGCAGTGTAATTCCTTTGTCTTGGACTCAAATTTTTCATTGAGGAGATAGGCTAGAAACTCAGTTCAGAACTTATAACCTGTATTTTAGGATAGAAAGAAATATCTCTTTGCTCATTTTTCATCTATAGAATTAAAGTTAACAGAAAATTAAAGTAAATGGAAAAGTAGTGAAAGCAATCAACTAATCTGTTAAGCCATTTTGAAATCAGTGTATCATACAAAGATCAATAATAATTTAACAAAATAAAACAACGTAACATGCCGCTATTCTACATCTGTAGCTTAATTGAAGTTGACCTCTGGCACAATACGTTCTCCAATATTTGTGGTTACTGCTGAATAACTCCGTCCCTTAGTATGTAGAATTACCTGACCTCCTGCGAAAAGGTGAGAGAATGCACACAAAAGCTAGCTTCATACAGCTCCAAGAATAAAAGTAAGCTTTTTGAATTAATTTCAAATGCATTTTATTAATTTTATCCTTTTAAGACATTTTAGGGCCACAATAAAAGGGTTCAGTTGATTAACTTACCTTTTGGAAAATAAGCCCTAATAATGCCAAGCACACACAGTATATATGCGACACAAGTATGACTTGCTAAGGTCAGAGAAATGACTTCTGCTTTCACCAAACTGGATTTGGTTTGGGAGCTTCCGATAGAAATTCTCCTCATTTTGCTAATATCTTCAACACTGGACCCCATTGATTTGAGACAGCTATAGACTGCATACAATCTATTCACAATGTTACATTGAACTCTCTAATGGCAAGGAGCTAACAATATCCTTGACTTCGGTAATTTTCACAGAAGTATTCAAATCTGGTGAAAAGGGTTTCGGCCCATTCAGGGTACCTATTTTATATTCTGCTGATTTTTCATCTTTTGACAGTACAGCTTCAGGATTAGGACATTGCTACCACACTCAATTTGTGTGAAAGTTCATAGTTATCTCTATTATGAGGAAGAGTGAAGGTATGTTACTTCACGGAGAAGAAGAAAGGGAATGTGGTTATACTGAGTGATTCTGTCATCAAAATGTTACAAGTTTGTTTATGTATTTTCAAGAACAAATATCTGATCTCAATGACCACAATAACTTTTTATGCACCATGGAAGCTTCTGCTTGATTTTTGAATTTCACTAAATATTATATAACTTTTTGCAGAATGGTGTCAGCGTAGGAGGCAGTAATTTGTCATGTTTGCACCGGCTCTCCAAAGGAGCATTTTATCGCGTGCTACTCCCCGATCTTCTCCCTGTGGCCCTGCACATTCTTCCTATTCAAATAAATAATTCAATTGCCTCTTGAATGCCTTGATTGAACCTGCCTCTACCACATGGTCAAGCAGTACATTTCCAGTTCCCAACTATTCACTGGGTGTAACAGCTTTTCCTCACTTCGGCATTGCTTCTTTTTAGATTTGTCGGTCGTTTTAAGTCTCGTAAAGAGAGAGAGGCTGAACTTGGTGCAAAGGCAAAAGAGTTTACCAATGTTTACATAAAGAACTTTGGTGATGATATGGATGATGAACGACTCAAAGAAATGTTTGATAAATTTGGTGAGTGTAACTCTGCTACAATTGTGGCTTGAGATGGAGATAATATGTACTGGTAGTCCTATATTATGTTTCTCGATTGCACTAGTGAGGTGATATTACCACCAACACCCTCCTGTTCAAGACAGAGTCATGGGTAGCATTTTCATTTATCTTTCAAAATGTTATATTTTAATTTGTCTTTCAAGTTTTCAAGTCCCAAGCATATGCTTGGGAATCAATTCATGCCAATTTGATGCCCCGGAAGTTTTCTATTATAATTAAATCTTCTAAATGGTCACTTTGCCTGTTGTTGAAATTTCCTGATCAGTGCTTTACTGTTGGGTGATGCTACTTGAGCCCCAATGCCTTTTTATAGAGAGTAGATGTTTGACTCCTTCCATAAGCCTTCTATTGAACAGTGCTCCAGGGGCTTGATTTCACTTCAATTAAAAGCAATTTTGGTACGAGGTCATTAGAAGTGAGAGTACTGATATTCATTCTTCAAAGAAAATCGTGGAATGACTTTTTTTTGGAGCCATTGTTTACGTTTGTGAATTATCCATGGAATCATAGGATTAACTCAGTGTTCTATTTTATCCATAAAAGCTCCCTGCAAGAGAACCTCAACTAGGCTCTACCGCTTTAGCCATTTTCAGATTATTATCCAATTCCCTTTTGAAGACTGTAATTGAGTCTGCTTCCAGACACCATGTTCTGGATCCTGTCCTTGCTATGTTTAAAGACTCTTCCAGTGATGCGTCTTCTTTTGCCAATCAATTTGAATCATTGTTCTCAACTCATCTGTCAACAGGAATAGTTTCATCTTCTCTACTCTGTCCAGTTCCTTGCAATTTTGAATGCCTCTGTCACATATCTTAACCTTGTGTAAGGAGAACAGCTTTGCCAATTGATCTACTTAATTGACGATTGTCACCCTGGTACTGTTCTGATAATTAGTTTTTGCAAACTCTTCAATGCCTTCACATCCTTTTCAAAATGTGATGTTTAGAATTGGACACAATATTCTGGTTGAGGCTGAAATAGTGTTTTATGAAGGTTCACCATAACTTCTTTGATTTTGCACTCTGCCTCCAATTATGAAGCCAAGGATCCCATATGCTGTATTGATCACTTTCTGATTCCCTTTAAAATTGTACCCTTTCTATTGCCTTTCTTTGTTATTACTATTAAAATGTATTACTTCACACTTCTTTGAATTACATTTCAAGTGGCACCAGCCTTTCTCTACTATTTTGAAGCTTATTGCTATTCTCCTCAGAGTTCATAATACTTGTAAGTTCTACATGATGAAGGTATTTTTTGTAAATGGGGACAGTTACAAATACACAATTTAACTTCCTATTTTATAACAGTTACAAAATTGTGAAATGAAACTTGCATTTAAGTATTCAGCTTCTGCATTATTGTTGCTTACTTTATCTTATGATTCACCTTGTCATGCTGCAATCATGTTAAAATTCTTCAGTTTACTTTCAGAATTAAATAAGCAAATTATTTTTTTGCTTCCACAATTGTCACTATTGCAATTATTGGCTCTGCAACCAATACACATATTTTAAAACTAAAAGGGATTCTCCAATGATAAAATTTGTTAGTCTAACACCCTGAATGAGATATGGATAGTGCCAACTAAAGATTGCAAAGAAAAAATGAAAACTTTTAAAATTAAAAACTGAATAAATTTCTACATCCATTTGCATCAGTTGTCTCTCTCATTGACATAATTGGGATCAATCTAAATTTCTACATACATGTGTTCTAAGGTTACGAGTGTGCCAGTGTTTATCAGATAGTATACTTACGTTCTACTTTTTAAGAGCACAAGTTCTTTTAATTCCTTTTGCTGGGACCACAGAGCTTACATACTTCGTAGCAGCAAAAACTGACTCAGAAAGTGTTACAGATATTAATCACCAAAATACAGAGAAAAGAGAAGGGTGAGGCAATACGAATCTTCTCACTACTTTAGAAAGCGGCGCTTGTTACTTTTGTGAAAGAATGCTAATTATGTTTGCTGCTTACTTTCATATCTCCTGATATTCATCTATCCTTTTTCTGTTTCTCTTTGTCCTCTTAGGCAAAACCCTCAGTGTCAAAGTAATGACAGACCCAAACGGAAAGTGCAAAGGCTTTGGCTTTGTTAGCTATGAAAAACATGAGGATGCTTCTAAGGTCTGTATGTTTGTTCACAGGAGCTGGTAACATTTTGGTCCAGTATGGAAATAGTTCATGATTTAATCAGTCACTAAAATGAATTGTCTGCATTTGAACAACTCAGACAAACTGAATGAGCCCAAAATCCTGAAATTTTAATTTGGAAATTTTAATATAGTCAGCTGGAAGAAGTTGCTGCATTCTCTAGTCAACTTCTAAAATTTGAGGTGCATTGAGAACCTCAAATTCTAATTTTTGAAAAAAATATTTTCCATGATATAAATTTTGAATTGAGAAATGGATTTTGAAATTCAAAGCAAACTTTAATTAATGGAGAGAAATGTGAACAATGCTGCTTTATCCGACGTTGAAAGCAAAAGGCACGCAATGCAACGCAAACAGGATTCTATAATGTGATCGAGTTTAGATGATGTCAGACTTAATTAGACATCAAGTCATCAACAAAATTATCCAAAATACCTGGGGTAGTCAGTGCTTCTTTGTTAGAGAAGTAAAATCAAGATGTAACCCTTTTGGTTTGTTTGGTTTTAACAATTTCATACAAAATCTTTCCTTATCCTAAGTTCAATACTTGTCTTTCTAATAACTATAACTCTTTGCTGTAGAGCTTCTTATTGCCAAATATGTTCTAACTTGTTGTCCCACTCGTACATTTCTGGTAGGGAAGGCAGAGGAAGTTGTGCATGGTCTGTGACCAGGCCACAGTCTATGGCCAATCAACTAAAAGTAAAATATTCTGCATTTTTATAATGTATGCTCAGAATGATCTTACATTTCACAATGACTATTTCATTCCATGTTTTGGAAAGCATCTTTAAAAGCAAATGCTAACAATTTAATCACTCCCATGAGTTAGAATCAAGTGTTTTGGGTTAATAATAGGGGTACATTCCCCCCCCCATAGTTTGACTCCCATGAAAGTATCCAGTTAAAGGAAAAAAAATCCATCTATTGTTGTAAATTTCAGCTTTTTCATATAATAAAATTTAATTATTTTTGATGCACACTGCATTTACTTTATTAAAGAAGTGAACTTTTCACAAACGTAAAAGTTTGATAGATATTTGTTACATAGCTGAACTTCATGGATCATGAGGTCAAATTTTGGTACTGTATTAAGTCAACTGATTTTAGCTAAGGCAGCAATAGGATGCAACAATTGGCTTTAGTGCCCCTCTGCTTCAGAAGCGTAAATTAGCCAAGATTTCTACTGCTGGTTGTTGTTCGGGTGCTAGTTGTTATTCGGGTGATGCTTCTGGAAGTTCATGTGTGCATGTGAAGACAGGATTGTACACAGTCTGTAACATATCTGACAATTAAACAGCTATATTATGTGAACTTTTATATATCATTGTTTGCAATCCCAGGATGTCCCAAGCAATTTACAGCTAATTAAATACTTTTAAAATGTTTTGGCAGGAACATAATAGTTGCTAGACGGTTAAAAAAAAGGAAACTATTTAGATTTGCCTTCTTTCAAGCTGGTCGTCACATAAAACAATGCTAATAAAGATTGAACTAGTCATACCAATATACCTTTATCAAGTAGTTTACAATGAACCAGGCACAAGGAAAACCACTAGTGATGGAAAGCTTTGAGAACCAGTAACCTGTTCCTCCTTAGCATGGTATATTTACCATGTCAATTCTCAAATTACTCTCACGTCGAATTTCAAAACGTATTTTCTGAAAGAACTTCTGTGTAATTGCCCAACCCTCTGCAGCTGCTTCATCAGTGACCTTCTCACCATCACAAGATCAGAGTGGGCATGTCTGACAGTGATTGCACATTGTTACCAATTTGCGATTCCTCAGATACTGAAGCAGTCCATGCCCAAATGCAGCAAAATGTGAACCATATTCAGGCTTGGGGGCGGGCACGTGGCAAGTAACATTTGTACCACGCAAATTCCAGGCAATTAGTATCTCCGGTAAGAGACAATCTAACCACCACCTCTTGATGTTCAATGTCGCTACCGTCACCGAATCTCCCACTGTCTCATCCAGGAGGTTACCAATGACAAGAAGCGGAACTAGATGAGCCGTGTAAATAAAAGCAGCTATAATACCAGGTTAGAGGTTAGGAATACTGCAGCGGCTAACTCATCTCCTGACATGCCAAAGCCTGTCCACCATCTTCAAGGCACATTATCAGGAGTGTGACGGAACACTCCCCACTTGCCTGGGTGAATGCAGATCTAACAGTACTCAAGAAGCTTGACACCATCCAGGAAAATACAACCTGTTTGGGCACCACACCCACAAGCATTCACTCCTTCCACTGTGGATGCTCAGTAGCAGCAGTGTGTACCATCTGTAAGATGTGCTTCAGATATTCAGCAAAGATCCTTAGGTAGGACTTTTCAAATCCAGAACCATTGCAGTCTAGCAGGACAAGGACAGAAGATACGTGGGAAGATCACCACCTGTAAGTTCCCCTCCCAAGTCACTCACCATCCTGACTTGGAAACACGTTGCTGGGAAATCTGGGAAATTGCTGCCTAAGGGCATTGTGAATCTAGCTAGAGCTCATGGCCTGCAGTAGTTCAAGATGGCAGCTGGCCACCACCT